TTTATATTTTTAAATAAGATGATATGAGAAAAGGTCCGTATAAAATATTATAAAAAAAGTTTTTAATATATTTGGCACAAATTGGATTTCATCTTAGTTATTATTATTATTATTATTATTTTATTAGTAACTCTCCTTGCGGCGATTAACATTAATATAGGTTCCCAATAGGTGGTTATCTCATTGAGCAATAACTTAAACTTTAGGACTTGTTTGGTTATTTGGTTAAAATGTCATTATATGAAGAAAATTTTTACTGTAAAAATGATTAGAAAAGTATTGTATAGAAAATTAAAAAATATTGTACAAAAAGTTACTAAATTTTATAATGAAGATTTATTAAGTTATTAATTTTTTTATGTTTGGTAAAAATTTAATATAATAAAAATTCATAAGACGAGTTTTTAAGTGGACTTAATATTGAAAAAATTATAGAGAAACATTTTTCTTTTAAAATAAGTGAAAAGAAAACTTTATTAATTAAAAATTGTATTAGAGAAAATAAATTTTCAAAATATCATTTTTATGTTTATTTATTGTAATATTAATATATAAAAATATATATAACCTTATAAAAAAATTTAAAGAAATTTAATAAAAAAATTTTTTTCCTACCAAACACCCCGTTACATTGAACATCTCACGTTTTCAATCTTAAAACTGACATATGTAAATGAAAAAATAAAAAGAGGGACGGAAACAGGTGATTATAATTATTGCGGAATTTTTTTTTATTAACTTTTCGGTGCTCGATAACCACAATAAATCTTGATTAATTTGAAATCGAATCGTATCAGATCCTATTAAAAGAGAAGTTTTTCCAACGCCAGTTTCTCAATTCATAAAATTTAAACTCGAAATTTTATTTAAAAAGAATCGATCTCCTTCCATTCATATCAACAGGTAGATGGTATAATTATTGTTGTATAGTTTGGAAAAATATGGCAATCGATCACTTGCCTTTCAATTCCTATCCTTTGAATGACTTGTGTCGCCACTCACTCACCGGTCAGCACACAGCACACCAAACTTAGAGATGCTATGTATCTGCAATTCAATCTCTTCAACTGTACGTTTTTCTCCCCCTACCCTTCCGACCCGGCCCTCCTTCCTTTACTGGTTTCTTTCGCTTACCAAGTAATCACAAAAAGCCAAGACATTTTAAAACTAAATATTGCAAAGAAAAATTAGACCATATATCTCACTCACCAACCCAATGATAAGCGTTTCTATGGGTTGCTACATGTGCAAGTCAAAAGCTTGACAAAGTTAAAAGAATCCTCACCCTCTCATGTTTCTTCTTCCTTTTCCACCTACCAACCATATATTTGTAAGGTTTTCAAACATTAAACTATAATTAATTTTCCAAAATATATATCAAGTCATTTTCCTTCCCTGCTATCAATTTTCCCATCCCTCTTGTTCGATCCAAGAAAGAATCAACACAGACATTAATTTTCACACACGTGAATCATATTTGGTTTTGACTCTTTCCATGCAAGTCATTCTTTTAGGAAAATACCAAAATATGTATATATCTTAATTACGACATATATATACTGGTGGTCGAGATACACGTAGGGGTTGGCATTTTTAGGTATGGTAGTTATATCATTTTTAAATTTTGGTAATGATTACCAATAATTTTTTGTGATAATGAAGACAAAATAAGGCTGCCGACCAACAATTACTGATGTCGTGATTTTCCGCCATTTTTGATAGAAACGTGGGCCTTTACAAAATACCCACCATTCATAAGTTTTGCTAGAGAAAATTTTTAGCAAAATCTTATGTTAAGTCCTTTAATTTATTTAAAATTTTTAATTAAACCCTTAAAATTTTATTGTGTTTGTCTTTAAATTTGTCAATATGAGTAATTTAACCCTCTTTTTTATCTTTTTTATGCCTTACTTATATGAATAAATTTAATATCTACTACATAAGTATTGACATATCTATATCTTATTCATACAAGTGATGTACATACAGATAGTAAATTTGCTATAAATAATATGGGTTAAATTGTTAAAATTGACAAATTTAGAAACTTATTTATTTTAATAAAAATTTAGGAATTTAATAAAAAATTTAGAATAAGCTTAGAAACTTAACGTAAGGTTTTCTCAAAATTTTCAATTGCAATTGCTCTGTACATCATTTGAAGAAAAGATGCAGAAGCTTGGATATGAGGTTCAAAATTGAAGAAAATAGGGAGATTGAGAAAGAGAGAAATAAGTTATCAAGTGCAGTGGTGGTAGTCGGAATCAATAATGGGAAGGATTTTCTTAAGTATGGGGAGAAAGAAGTGAAGAAAGAGAAGATAAAATGCCCAAAAATTAAAAAGAACGACGGGAAAGGGTGATAATTTGGAGGCTCGTTACGGTAATCTGGTAATAATTAAGCATCCATTCCATTACCGTACCATGATCCTTGTGGTATATACCAAATAACCGTTTGGGCTTACCTAGTGATCATTTTACCATGCCAAAACTAATAATTTCGGTTGGTAATTTTGATAAATCTAATATGATTGGTAAATTCACACAATTAAATATACATATTTTATCATCAATCATATGATATAATAGTAAGAAAATAGTGCTTATCAGCTTTACCTCCTAAAGATTAAGAGAAAAATCATCTCAAAATTACGTCATTTCAATAAATTTTTATTAAAAAAGACTAAATTATCTTATTTTTAAAACATGTATTAAGGTGATTTTTGTCATTTTTCTTTCTAATTTTTTAAAAGCAAGGTAGATAAACACAAACTCCTAATAATAAAGTTATATATATATATATTGTTAACTACAAATTTAAAATTCAATCCTTCTAATATATTTAGGTTGAAAGAAATGAAGAGAAAGAGAAATAAGGGGAGAAAAATTATATATTTTCATTCCCCTCTTCTCCTCTCGTTTAAATAAATAAATTAATTAAAAAAATAAATCAAATGATTTTTTTCTCCCCCTCTCCCCTCCTCTTTAATTTTTTTAATAAGCAAATAAGAAGTTTTTTCCCCTCCTCCATTCCTCTTAACTCAAATATACTATTAATCTTTACATTAAAAAAAAAAAAAAAAAGATATGCATATCTTAGAAGGTTCGATTGTTCGAATCAGATCTAGAAATTTGAAGATGAGAAAGGGCTAATGGGTTATCTATATTCTCATCATAGCTAGGTGTAAACAAAAATAGTAATGAGTAAAAAAAATGAAAATATTATATATGGTAACTACGGAGGCACCAAGCCACCAACCTTTTGTTTCATTTTCAAGAATTCACTAGCTAGATAATTGTGGAAAGGTGACGATCGAAAAATCATATTAAGTCGGGCTCCTTTAATAATATAGTGTATCCTACTAATTGATAATGAATAATGGTGATCAAATTGGATTTGTAGTGATGATTAAATTCAAATATTAATTAGGGAGGGGGTTTGGTGAGCAAAGGGGTAAAGGGTGTGGTAGGTGGTGATGGTGTTTGTGTTAGTAGTGGTTGAAATCTGCGTATGCATGCTGTACTCTTTTCTCTCACCATGACGCCATCTCCACGTCCAGGCTCCCGGCGACGTTCGTTGGTGCCGTCGGCAGTTCCTCTTGCATCCCGGCCAGCTATTGCTGTAATTGCATGCCCACATCTAGCTGGTTTAGGTATTAAACAGCTGATTTAATCAGTACTTTTATATTGTATGTATGGTTATATTTTTTAATTTTTAATTTTATATTAAAAAATAATAATTTTTATACAAATATGTTATAAAATGTATTAAATCAAAAGGCAAGTATATTAGTTTTCCTTTGCTAGACATGCATAAGATGTTACTTATATCAATGACTCTTTGCTTTCTTTCTTTCTTTTTTTTTTGGCAGAACTTGCTTATAAGTAAAGGTTTCTTTTCTTAAACATTATTAAAAAAAAAAAAAAAAGACACCATATAATACCAACATTGGCCTTAATGATGGACTCTATAGAAAAAACCCATCTCTATAGAATAGAATCGCGTTAGCAGAAAATAATACTAAAATTGATGCATATGTACTATTCAATTAATGCACTTAATTCTTTTGCTTTCCCTTTTTTTTTTTTTTTTGAAGATTACAGCTGACGTACATAATACAAACACAAGTATACGAAGTATTACTCAATCAATTATTAAATTTAGGACACCATATAAAATCAAGCTTATTAAAAAATTTTTGAAAAATAAATTGTATACTTTCTTGTCTGACACATCTATCAACATTTATTAATTCAATTATTAAAATTGTATTTTTAAATTTTTTGGTTTTAATTTATATTTAAAAATAATATTTTTTAATAAATATGTTAAATCAAAATTATGCATTCTTATCCTTTTTTGTAACATATATGCCACAGCATAAGAAAAAAACAATAATAGCATGAGATATTAATTTGAGACCTTTATTTTAACCACTGGTAAATCGAGGGCTTCATTGACCTTAATTTTTTTTATTGAAGAATCTTTTTAGTTACTTGTAATACAAAACTAGCTAGTATTTTATGAATTAAGTTTTGATTAGTTACGTAACTCGTTTTTTGCAGATTTTTATTTTGTTTTATAGTAATTATTATCAATTGAATATATAATGATGGACTGCCCTACTTTGGTTCTTCTAATATGATAACAAGAACAAACTTAAAAACGTTGTTCCATTAAAAAAATAAAAAAAAACCCTTATGTATGCTATCTTCGGTGTGTTTCAATCAATTCCCACTACAAATAAAAATTTTAAAATTTAAATTTTGAAATAAATGATATGAAAT